ATATATGCCAGAGCAGGCCTATGCCAGATAATTTGAGTTGCTCCGTGGAGCGTACTGACTTAGCGGTGAGCGCAGCCGCATCATCAGCAAACAAGTAAAAACTTAGCCGACAACGGATATCAAAAAGTGGAACTATAACGGCGAAAGTCTGCTACGTACAGCGGTAGACGGCGTGGTACACTATTAATGACACTTTCGTAATCGTGTGTAATCCAGGAGGCTCAGCGGCACTTATTATCGTTCATTTCTTCAAGCGACAAATCCAGTTTTGCCCGTGTTTTTTATCCGGTCTTATGCACAAGTTACAGCTTTGTAGTAATTTTCTTGTAATCAGCAGTCATTCTTTCTCACAACATACTCAGAATACAATAAAGTTTAATTCAATGGTATGACACTGAAAGGGTAAAGTGTGGTACAAACCATTCACTGATTTTTAAATATGATGAATCTGAGGGATTAACCACAAAATCTCATTTTTAGTCATATTTCAATCGATGGGTGCTTTACTTTCTTAATGGCGTAACTGCTGCCTCATGATTAATTTCCGACAGATATGATTAATAGTTTAAAGATGTAGATGCCTCCTTGATGATTAGCGTCAACGAAAGTGAATTGGCCATGCATTAGCTTCTTCAAGAACAAAATAAATATCGAAAGAAATGAACGTATAGCAGCTCAACATTATTCAAATACATGTGCCCTTTTGAACATAAATATGGCACAGTTTTGTTAACTCGTAAGATAACTTCTTTAGAAATCTTAAGCTCTTTACGTTTCTGTTAACATGTATCTAAAACAGTTCGTAGTCATGTGAAGAGTACTAAAATTTCGTTTTTGAAATAGTTTTTAAGTAGAGGAGAATTGTCAGAATGGTACGAAAAACGAGTGGAAAGTAAATAAGGAACAAATTCGTTCTTCAAAATGCTGCCTCTGTCCATACTGCAAAAAAGAGCAAGACGGAGTCTCGAACAGGGCAAAGAGAAATACGATGACATCTACTGTCTATTAGATACAGTTACTGTGATGTAATAAGGTAGGAATGTAAATATCGTTTGTCAACGTGGCGGCCAAAATGGGAGGAAGGCCCCTTATGCCTGGTAACGAAGTTTTTCCGTAAAGAACAATACTCTTGTTGAAAATCCAGAGAAGAAAATCGAGGATTGCTTTCTTTATTCATTCATTTTAAGAAACAGCGGATGATGTATTCACATCGCCCCCTCTGAAAAGAGATGGGTACTAATTTAACCAAACAGATAAGTGGCTTAAGATCTTCCTGGTTGATGGCATAAAATTTTTAGCTGGACACGCTAAAAACTGATTAGAAAAGCTGAACCGGCACCCAAATCAGTTTTGTCAATCATTTTTGTCACTTCTCGCATCTAAGAACAGGGAACTTGTTCAATTACGTGCGCAATTGGATAAAATAATTTTAGGATTCTCCATAAACGCATGCATACATGACACGCGTTAGGTTTAACTCATTTGTTTGTGTATAAAGCTTCAAAAAGATGAAGTTCTCAGCGGCGAAAGGTCAATGTATGTCCTACTGAGGCGATCTGGCAGTGCTATAGCAATGTAACAGTCTAAGAGCCAGTTAGATGGATATCATCCTAGTTCCGTATCGCAAGCATTAGTTGTGATGATAATCTGCTATGCAGTGCTTAACAATAGCGTTTCACACTACGTGCTGCCGATGAGAATGGCAATATGAGATACTTTACAATTTGCACTCATTTCGAAAACCTCCACTTCGCCGTCAACTCATTAGCAAAGGCTGACACGTCCAAATGAACAGAACTTTTCAAGCGAAACCGATCGGTTTGAAATCACCCACATTTGTTAGTTTATTCGTGGTGAATAAAACGATTGAAAACACTGTTGCTTGCATGTTCTTGCTTGGGAAAAATCCACTTACTCTTCGTTATTAATGACCTTAGCAAATCCGAAGTCGGTCAGCTTTATGTGGCCCCGGCGGTCGAGTAGAATGTTTTCCGGCTTGATGTCGCGATGAGCTATATTGCGGCTGTGCAGGTAGTCAATGACTAAGACGATTTCGGCGGCATAAAACTGAGCCGTCGCATTGCTAAAACAGCCGGCGCACTTTATATGCGAGAAGAGCTCTCCGCCGGCGGCGTACTCAAACAGCATGTACAGACACTTTCTGTCGGCAAAGTTCCAACAGCTAAAATATGCGCTTATGAAACGAGGCGAAAAGTTGTCGGCACACTCACAGGTTGACCACAAACGGGTGGGTGATGCTCAAGAGCACTTCCTTTTCGCAAAACACGTGTTCCACCTGTTTCAGGCGAAACATCTCGCGGATAGACATGACCTTGAGAGCGCAGTACTGGTCACTCTGCTTTTCACGCACAAGGTAGACACGCCCAAAGCTGCCTGTACCTGAAACAGCAACCGTACATCGTGGCAAGTGACCCAGCAGCTGTTTGTGCTGCAACGCCCTACCTATCGTACATATGATGTCGCACTTGTCCTTGATGCCGGTCGCGTCGATGATTCGGTTCTGCTGGCGGTTAGACGCCTTCCTGCTGACACAGACGGACACTGACTGGTCGCGATCCTGGTGCTGGTCATTTTCGTCATGCTCGTCTTTATTGTATGCCGATGTGCTGTCGGCGCTGTTGTGTTCCGTGGACCTAGCCGACACACACTCGGAACCGCCAGACCCATCGCTCAGATCGGAACCGAGCAAGCGCCTTACCTGTTTCTGCGGCAACTTGATCACTATGGAAACGCTGTTGCTGTCGTCGCTGCCACGGTCCGTGTCTGCGTCAGCGAAACTCAACGATGAGCACGTTTTCATTGATCTCATCTGATGACCTGTCACCAACATGATCGATATTAAGTGACACTTTTTCTAAAAGAACCGCGATGAAATGTTCAACAACGCTAGCGATTAGACGGATGAGTTCGTGATGCGGTTTTAGCAGCTGTCTAGACAAGCGTCAAATTGTGAAATTGTGAAATGGCTAGGTGCAAACGCACAACGCACAATTACAGTAGAATGGCGTGTCGTACAAGACGGTACGGTAACCTCGCGGTTAGTTCTGCAGGCCGTACAGAACCGCGATCAGCGGGTGCGTGCCCTTCGGCGGACACACTCAGGGAACATTTGCACTTCATTTGCACTTCAGCTCGCCTACTCGAGACCTGTAGCACGGCAGCAGCTCGGTTTGCAACTGCCAGGTGTACCTCGTAGAGCGAACAGGAAGAAATTTAGGTGGTAAAAGATTAACGATTAGGTAAAACGACGATGCAGCGCAAGAAACATAGTAAACATTTACGACGATGTTTCAGCGTCACAAAGCTGCCAGGGCCGTCGTAAGCGAGAAGCTGACTCTGCTTCAGTTCAGGCGATGACCAGAGGAAGCGGTCACTTCGATGCATGCACAAAGGTAGACACCAGAAACGACCAGAAACACGTGCAGCTAATTGCTATTGCCATACAACAATGGCCTGCTAAGAATCGCCGTCACTCGCCTTACCATCAGGCGACCAACATTCACACAACTTCAACGCACTTATGCAACAGCCGCACCAACATCATCAGACATTTCATCTGCAATTTCATAACCTGCTGACTGTGTGAGGGGAGAGCAAACAACACCGCAATAACATGGAGCTCACGTTTTGACGTCTCGCTCAAGTTTTACGAGCAGTGGTCGAGATCAAACCGAACTCAGCTGAACAGCATGTGAAATACGCAATCGGACAACGACTGATTACGGACAAACAGATTAACATCACTGACTACTGCGCTTTGATTCGCTTGTTATTTCCGAGTATTATGCAGCGCAGTACGCCTACATCGCCACGTAGCCACGTAGCCACGGAGCGCGCTGAAAGCACGGACCTATTCAGTCGCTCAATAATCTCATAAAAGCTATTGGTCGTGCATGTGTTGTTTTTGCGACTGTAAAAACGTCGTACCAGCATTAATAGAATGCGGCAAAACTCCTCTGCATCAAAAACGCGTAAACATGTCATGCTGTACGCACTAGGCGTCTTTCAGCATACTGGATGTGCAGAATCAATCACATGTCACGGCCAATCTAAACAACGGTCATCTAACATGTTCGAATGCAAGCGTTGCGTTTTCAGATATAATTATTTACATACTCTCGTCTCACAATAGTTTAAAAATAGCTGTTCAGCTCATTCACAACCCACGCACAAATCAAGAAAACCTCAAATCAACCTGTTTCATACTGGGAACGCCAAATGGATGAGAAAGTTAAACACATAATCGCAGAAGCATGCCTATACTACTCAATTTACGCTTCTAGCCTATTCCGTTTTACGTTTGCAGCAAAGGATAGACTTCATTATTCAAGTTCCTACGGTCTCACTTCAGTAATATTGAATTTAACAGGTTTCTGTCTTAACGTACCCGAAGCTATGAGCTTGGCGTCTGTAAATGCCTGATGCGAAAGTTTGCGTACTGTAAACCGAGAAAGTTTTTTTTCTGAGTGACAGGCGACCTTCAAATACCAGAAGGCTTCATTGTCGAGGTAGTGCGGCTAAAAGTAATCTTTCCCTTGAATGGTGATGACATCTAACTTTCTGCAACTAAGGATTAATCCATATCCACTGTATTTCCTGACTCCTTGACAGTCAGTAACTGAAAAATTGAAATGCCATCAGCGATGAAAGAAGTTAACCCGAATGGCTAGTTTTGCAGTATAATGCCATAAAACTTTTCTTCTATTCAGGAGACATCCTCCAAAAGTCGAGCCTCAGCATCTCCGCCGCGGAGAGAGGGTAAGGTCCTTAGTCAGAAATGGCATGCCAGGACAATATATGGCGAAGTATGCATTCTCTAGCTATGAGGAACCCTAAAACCGTCGGCTAATGAAGCTAGGCTTCACAGACTTCCTATGCATTTACTGCAAATTGGTATGCGAGAGATATGACATGCCTGCTGAATGTGCGTGAATGCATTATATTGTTTGAGTATACAAAATATCGTCATATCTTTCAACACCAAAAGCAATAACACGGAAGTGCATGTTAAGCCGTGCGCAGATCATGCCGCTGTTTATCAGAAGTACCTCACGACTGGCAGTATATATTCACTGTATTATACCTCGTACCTATATATAGCTATATGCAAAGCGACGGTACCAAGTGAAGTGACAGTTGCTGTTGAAGGGAGCATCGTTACTCAAGAATAGACAACTTGTAAGGCTGCATTGTACGAGTTCTTTGATTAGCATTTCAAAATCAAAGCAACTAACCTGACATAATTGGCAATATGTCTAAGTCATTTCTCGTGCTTCCAACCATGGAATCAGAAGACCTATCAAAAGATCGACATATTTTAAACGATTGTAGGAAATAGACCGAAACTTTCTTCGGTTTGTTGAACTACACTTGTTCTTCGGCAGATGTTCTTCGTTTGTTACTAGTTTCCAAGAATCATCACTTAGCTCCAGGTAGACAGAGCACTTGAAAATTTAAGAGTAATCGTGCGAGAGTTTCCGAGCACATGATTTTAGCAGGAGGGGCTGAGTCAGGACAGCATGAAGTATCAGCAAGAAGCTGGCGGAAAGCGCAGCGGGCAGCAGAAGTCATCGATCGGTGATCGTAAATCTAACGTTGGAGCACAACACATGTGGAACAAGGATATTTAGGGAGTGTCAGACCGCTGACACTTTGTACCGAAGGAAACGTTTGTTGGGTTATTTCATATGGAAGGTAGAACGAATTTTCGAGGGCTTTTGACTGCACAGCAGATGGAAAGCAACACGGCGTAGGCTTCTTTGAGAGGCTTGATTTTAGCTTCACTCAACGACTGAACGTAATAGTATTCTGCAAATTCTAACTGGTTAAAATTATAAACCTTGAACTGAAACACTTCAGACTATCGTCTATCTTGATTTCATGAAAATGTGGCGAAACGTTTCTTTATTCTGCTATCCTATGGTATACGATATATCATACGTTGAAGGTCATACAGAAAACAGTCGTCCGATTGGCCATATTATTTGAGTTGTGTATTAATAAGTCGTGTTTGATGCTGAATTCTATCTGTTACCTTTGAATAATGGATGCCAACTCCTGTACACAACAAATGAAGGATCGAAACGAAACAGCATAAAGATGACGAGCCGAAAACATCTTTTATGCCACCCAGATGGCCAATCCCGAAAAACCTGCAAGTAATCATTATCTAAATTTGTACCTCGTGCCATAAGAAGCAAAACACATAGTATTGATACTGTCTTGACGATCAAGAGAAAACTGCATGATGCGAAATTTCATTTTACGTTTTCTGGATTGTACGGTTCTTGTGACGTGCACGACGAGTGTTCCCTTCAATCACTTCTGCAGGTTATCCATGTTGTTGATAATTATGCTGTCTTCACGATGGACTCAAGTGACTGTCACTGAAAATTCTTCACCGGAATTATACTCAAGATATCTCATCGTTATCATAGTCAAAGTATGCATTGGTCTTAAATCGAGAGTGGAAGTGTGGTGGGCATTAACCATACCTGCCAAAAATGCAAAAATTGCTTCTCAGATGATGTGTAATAATAAATATTAAAAGCAGATTTTACTCAGCAAAGGGCCAGTACCATTGTGTTCCAATGCAATTAGCCGTGAAACGACTCGTGAAAAGCCGTCAGTCAAATTCTGTAATGAAGAAAGCCACTACAGCGCGGCTGAAGCGTCGATGATATTAATGAAGATTTTAAAGATCTAAATAAAATCTGGGCTCAAAATCACTGAATCTGAATGTCGTCCTTATTAGACTGACTAGAATTCCTGAACTTATCTCATGCTTCACATATGATAGTCGAGACACTTGCCTTTCTTTCTTCTTAGTTTGATAAATAAGTATCACTTTTATTGAAGGAAACAGGAGATTACACGCTACGCTTGCCATATGGCTGTAGACTGCTTTTAAAACTAAGAAACTCTTGGCTGATGACATAGAAACGGAGATCAGCACCGTACCATCAACTTCATGAAAAGGGTGTGAAAATTATCCAATCATGAACGTGGAAGAAGATCGACATTACAACGGTAACAAACTTTCTTTTCTTTCTAGTTTGTTTAGAGGATAGATGACGTGTTCAAAAGTTTCATTATAGCACGGCAAGATTAAATATAAACGACAAATCACCTACCTATCAACATTGCTCGTCACACCACGTCTTGCCGACTGAGAAAAAAAAATGAATATTCGCTATAATCTGTCAATTACATTTGCGGAGATATTATGTCGTATAAGTATGCTAGCCTCGAACATTCTGCATTAGAAACAGGCGTGTCATCTTCAACGAAGCCATTGATTCTCAAGTACATTTTGAATTATTTTATCATTTTCTAAATAGGTAATCTTCCGCTTTCCACAAGCTGAATAATTTTAGTGTGTCACGTGTTGCTGAATATCTCTAAAGTAAGACCCTATTTAACATAAAATATGCTATACACAACCTCTGTACAATTTGTATTTTGGTCGTAGTTTCCTGAAATTGCTGCTAATCGTGAGCGATAGAGGTAGTGATAGCCAGTAAACGCCGCTTTCAAACAGGTATGCGTCATTTTGGGAATGATCACCACTGTTAACTTTCAATTTACGTTGTACTTACTACAACGTATTTCTGCTGTTTAATATTATGATCAGAAATGTTCAATCCTCGGAGTGAAAGTCGATAGGACTAAAGGCATCTCAAAAACAGACAACAGCATGGCACTTGACCACCGCTAGAACCATGGCGCCAACCACCGGTGTCCTTTAGGAGTTGGTGCGCATATCGACAGCCACATTCCGCGTCCAGCTATGCTACTCGA